CAAACAAAACCACTTTCACTAAATCAGAAACCTTGCATATATCATTAATGTATAATATAAATAATTTAGGTCCCAAAACAGAACCCTGAGGCACTCCACATACAATGTCCAGCTCACTCGATTGGTATTCACCCAACTTCACAAATTGACGCCTCTGTGTCAAATAACTTCTAATCCATTTCAGAACCATTCCTCTGATCCCTTATTTTTCTAACTTATCCATTAATAACTCATGATTGATTGTGTCAAATTCTTTTTTAGGTCAATAAATATCCCCATCGTGTATTTCTTCTCATCCATAGCACTTGTTATGCCCTCCATCAGGTCGGTAATGGCCAAAGATGTCGATCGGTTCGACCTAAATATGTTTTTGTGGTGAGTTAAGCTCATAGTTTTCAGTCCTATAGTGAGTGTTAAGCCTGTTGTTGTTTGCACTGTCACCTGAAAGATTTTGTCACACATAGCTCAAATGCCTGTGGCCCACTGGTAAAGTTCAGTCATGTTCCTAAAGAGTGAGCTCGCTGAAATATACAGTATATTAAGGCATCAGTACAAAGTGTGGTGTGACCCCTGGTGGCTAAAGAATGTAGAGACAACCCTCATTCTACCATGTTGCACTTCACTGTTAAGGGGAGATGCCTCCCAGTGCAGCCATTCCCTAGGTTTTAAACAGTAGCACATTACTGGTATGTGTGGTTTTATGGTACTTAATATTTTTATAGCCACTCTTGGGAGGACAGACTACCATCTACACTCACCAGCCACTTTATTAGGTACACCTGTACAACTGTATGCGATTCAATGCAGCACTTCCACCTTAACATCTGTGTTTATGAAGCTCAAAATATTTCAGTTTCTGGTGAAATTGTCAGAAATGTATAAGTTCAATTAAATGTTTATTATTGAGGTCATAGTTAAAGGTGGTGTTGTACTAGACTACATCATATCCAGAGGTGTCTGTATATTTTTGTCCTCCCCAGCTACATACCTGAGAGGGTCAGAATATTACGAAGGTGGAAGTGTTGCACTAAAATGCATACAACTGCACAGGTGTACCTAATAAAGTGGCCGATTAGTGTATATAGGGCATTTTGTTTCTTGTTTAACCAGGGACATTTATTTCTACCAGAACTGTTCCCCTCTGAAGACACCACAGCCTTGATGCCTGAGGCAGGAGTCTGATGTGTCACCCACTGGGTTGACGTCACTCCAAAAACACACAGACACTTCCCTTCACTCTGTGTTCACTGGGCTCCATCAAGTGGCTGCATTCAGACCAATGTGGTGCTGGAACACACACACACACACACACACACACACACACACACACACACACACACACACACACACACACACCCAAGTCTTAGCAGAAGGGAGACAGTGTTTGTTGAAGTGACTCAGTCAAATGAGTGAAATTAAAATAATCTGAAAAAAATGAATGTTATGAGCTCTGGGGCGTTACAGCCCAGTGATGCACAGCACTGTGTCACCAGAACACAATACTGTGTTCAAAGGGCATTTCAAGTATATTTGGGTTGTAATCAACTCATAAATGTACCACATAGTGAAATAGGAAGCCTATCACTGGTGCAAAGTTTGATCTAAAAATTAAATACACCAGGCTGTTAGATACACCTAAGTTTTAATTAGCTGTCTTTTATTAATTAATTACCAATTTAGGGAACATATTAAGTCTAAGAATGTCTGTAATTAATTTCACTCTTGTAAAGAAAATTTGTAATAATAATACTCATTTGTCTTTTTTAATCTTTAATTAGTTCCCTTTCAAAAGGTATTTAAATGATCTTTTAGAGCAGGAGGGTGCATTTACACCAGCATTCAGTACATGTACATACTGCACATATGAAGAAATCCATGTTTGTAATAAAAGAGCCACTACCTGCCATCATAAAGGTCAAAACACTGAATGTTGGACATTATCTGAGACAGTGGCCTTTTCCATTTTAAACCATGTTTACATTAGGTGTGGAATTTATTGAGCTCATTATTCAATAAATTCTAACATGAGCCAGAGTAACTATGAATCACTGAGCCTGCAGGACAGTGTCATTTCATCAATATCCGAATGAATCAACACAGAAAAGATCCTTTCTGCTCAGATTTCTAAACAAAATTAAAAGCAATGTAGCTGAACTTTACTGTGTTGGTGTCATTATTATGCTAAAATTGAAGCAGAAGCAGAAAAATGAAATATACAAGCAATCCTGATATTACACAATCTTCTTGTAATAAGCCAAAATATATAGAAATGTTGGATAGCATAACAGCTTGCTGAGTCTATTAATCTGAATATAAAATATGAAGAGTTTGAGATTTTATGCACAAAAAGTCACAATGCTTGTTAAAAATTAAGCTTAATAAAGGCCCTGTTAAAGAGGTCTGTTCGGCTGAGTTCAATAAATATTACATAATGTGATATGATATAGATCACCACAAATGATTTGCATGTTTGAAGTCTGCAATTCTCAACTTTGCTGATGTTTTATTTTTTATATCTTAAACCTGCAAATGCTTCATATCAAACATCAAATCTGTTGTTTAGGTCCACATGCTCAAGAACATAAACAAATATGAAATGAGTTACATTACCACTAGTACCAGTAGTTCCTCTGTCCAGCTTCAAACTTAATCATACAACTTAAAGATAACAAGTGTGTGTCTAAATAATAAAGGTTTAATATAACCCTGAACGATATCACTGAGGCAGTTAACCAAACAAATCTCCACTACCTCTTATACTGTATTACAGTCTGTATACTGCACAAATGTACAGTAGTACTGTATATTATTTGAAAAATGTCCAGAAAAGCAGTTTACTGTATTTCTTTCATCCAAAGAAGAAAAATGCAACACATTTGTCATATTTTAAGAAACTCAACAGTGACATATATGATCTTGCATAAGCATGATATACCAGTGTGGCATATTTCTCAAAAGGCAAAGCACAGGGTTAGTTTTCAAAGTAAAAGATTTTGCTATCTCACTGCAGCCTCCTCAGATCAGAAAAAAACACAACTGAAGCATCTTCACTACAGTTTACAATGCTCTGACAAGTGGGGAAACTCTGATGAGGATCATATGATATGACTGAAACCTCCACAGCAGCTACTAAATGGACTCGATAGTGAAGCTGTTTCCTCAAACCTTTTGTAATTAAAAGAAAAAAAACAAACAGGTGAAAATATGATAAAGTATGAATGTTTTAAGTCATTACGCTTTAAATCCTAATCCATCATAAACTTATTTCCCAGCTTTTGTTTCTTTTGTTTCTTCTCACAAAGTTGGCATGTCTTTCATTTCAGTTTTATCTCCTTTTTTATTCCTGTTCCTGTTTTGACGTCTTCTTGGACACTATCAGGTAAAATCTACTCCATTTTGTTATTGCATGTGCTTGGATGTCCGTTAGGAACAAAATGCAATGCACTTTAAAAGGCCCTCTTACTGTAAGTCCTTTGGCTCCCTGACGTCCACCTGACTCAGTACTTCCTCTGTAGTTCCTCAGAACTTTATAGGAAGTACACCATCTGCATTATGACTAGGTGACAATTACTTGTTTTCCAACTTCCTCTGTACTGTTGCCAGCATTTAATTCATATTTTCTATTTGGATAAACAAGCTGCCTATACTACAGAAGTGGCTCCTAAAAGGTGTGGTCATTGTTGCGTATGTCTCAAAGATCGTACATGTATACATGAATTCTTCACATCAATTCACAAATGTATTACTAGAATAAAAAGACCTACCTGCTAATGACATATTGTTGAAATGGATGTGTTTGTATTTTGAGACAATTTAAACACCAGCATTTATCTCTATACAAATATATTTTATACAAAAAGAATGTAAAGCTAGAAATTATTACAGTAATTTGAACAGAAAATGAATAAATATATAACTTGATCTTATATCACAGGCCACACCACAATGACAAGGTTCCAGAGTAAACACAAGCTGGAATTCCTCAGCTAAGTAGGAACTCATGTTTATACAGTTTTCAGTATAACAAAGACTTTTTCCTCAGTGGTGTGTGTTCCTCTATTAATGTTTGCAACAACTCAGCCCATGAGACCCACATGTGACTGCACTCTAGTTTGCCATTCTTGGTAACTCGAACCCTTGATGAGGATCAGGGATATGGAGCATCAGGTCTCGTCATGTGACTGTAAGTAAATTGGCTTGGCCTGCTTCCTCAGACGCTGCTGTGCCCGCAGCTTCCTGCCCTTCTGAGTTGCCAGTCCCAATGGTGGTAGGTAAGTCTATGGGAACAAGGTAATTTTCAACATTTCAAAATTTCTCAACAGCACAATAATGTAGACTGACAAAAAATGGTTTACTTGGTAAACTGGTAACTTACGGCCCTTGGATATGGGTTCCTGTAATGAAGACCTGTGGAAAAAAAGAAGTCTTGGCAGAAACTGTCACATCATGTAAAACCTTGACAGGATTTTACTGTTTCAAAGTAAATTCTACATTCCTGACAACATGACAAGACAAAAACGATGAAATCATGCTGAAATCATACATTGAACACACCAAACAGTGCTGCTTTAAGTTATTATTGTGACATTGAATCTGTGCAGGATTCAACTTAGTCCAAAGTTATGAAAGGAAACATTCCATTTTTACCTATTTCTATCCTTGCTTCACATTCTTCTATACACCTCTTTATTGATTCTTGATCTGTGAGCTGAAAAGAAGCACACAGAAGAAAGAATGAGTCATACAAGCTGCCAGGATACAACTGTACATTCATTGCTATGAGCAAATTATTGCCATTCACACCTGTTGGTTTTGTCTGAACAGAGTCCGAGCCTCTTGAAGTATGTACTTTCTCTCAGTCTCTGTGTCACTTGTAACTCCACTTTGTGCCTGCCAGGTTCGGACAATGCGAAATACCCGCATGTAGAGTGACAACACGGTCCTGCGAGTGGAAGTTGTCATCTGGGATCATAATCTGAGAACACAGCAGGTACCTATACAATGGAAAAAAAATAAGCTTGATGCTATTCCTCTTGTTCACCTAAGGTGAAAAAGCTTGAGGCCGAGGTAATTTCAATGGTGATTACACACAAAACTTTGTTACTCCAGCTGTTGTGTTTCTGCTTACTGCTCCACATGATGTAAAAAGTGCATATTAAGATTAAAAAAATCTTTTTAAAGCCTTCTGTGTCTGAGTAATCCATTGGGAGGCTTTGGAAAAAAACATTTGCTGCTGGGCCCTTACTGATTCTTCACTTTCCGCCTTGTGTGAATTGTATATGCTCCCTGTCACCTCCAGATTCCATTTACTGTAAACAAAATGCACACGACATACGATACATGCCAGCATAATTATTTGACCAGAGACCAAGGAAGTGACTTACACAGTGCATGAATAATACCACCAGTCCCAGATTTGATTAAGTCTTATTTAGTAACATACATCCTGTGAACAAAACAAAACCATAAAAAGCACAAATGTTACAACTAGGTTAGAACACAGGGCTCCTTCACAAGAAGGGGATACAAGGCAAGGTGCGCTTTTGTTGAAGTTGTACTGTAAGGGGGGCAAATTAGTCCAGGGCCCCGGGCAGTTGCTCGGTTTGTTACACAGCACTAAAACCAACACAGCTCTGGTTTCCAAACATACCCTTAAATACCTGTTGCATGGTTGAGTGTAAGATATTAATGGTGTGTTCTGGTATATGTTGAGATTAAAAGTCGTGAGGCTAATATCAGGAGACATGAAGCTATACTTTGCCATCACACGTCAACATGTAGCTAGTTAGCTATCAACACAAAATGAATATCTGCTGTTAAGAACCGAGTTAAACTAGTAGTAGGATGAGGCTTATTCACAATGACTTGCAATATTGTTATCAGTCATTAAGCTGTACAAGTTAACATGGCAAAACTTGACCTACCAAGTATGTTTGAAGAAGAATGGCTAGGACTCCCGTCGCTTTCTAGTACAGCATAAATAAATTTGTCGCCAGATGATGACGTTTCCCGACTGATATGATCTAAACGAGAATGTTTCGAAGAAGAAACGAATAAACACGGATAACGGAGTGCCTCTACTTTTTATCGTACATAAAGTTGGATATGTCCAACTTCTCTAAATTATTTGCAACATTTTTAGAGTTCACTATTTATGGACTTGGTTTAAGGCGTTTCACACTCACACCAGTTAACTGGTTTTGACTTAAGCGTTCATTCTGTCATGGGTCTGTGTTTAATGTCATCGCCCATACGTGCTTCTGTAATTGTTTTTACAGCAACTTATCCATATGGGTTCAATATAGCATTTACAACCACAATACTTTTTACAAATTAAAAGACGTGCTTTGTCGTTGCTGTCGCTGAGAAGAGGATCAGCTGTTGGTTGCTCGTGGGCAGGGAGGAAGTGATGCAGGAAAATGTCCATAAAGTAGCAACACTCAATGACTAAAAGGGGGAAGCACAAAGAAATACGCTGCTTTAGTCCTAGATGGTTTTTTTTTTTTTTTTTAAACTCACAGCAAAGAGCGTACATAATTCAAAATGGATTGAAAAGCGCACCCTGGTTGCAATATTTTACTTCTTGGTTTTCATAAAGTAGAATTGAATCTTATGTTGATGTGGAAGTTTTTGTCAGCTGCCAGCTAGTTAGCAAGCAATCTGAGTTAACGCGACGAGTTTGGCTCAGTTCGTTTCTGGTCGTATACGCTACCCTGGCAAACTTATTAACAACTTAATTTGTAGTGGCAGTCCAGAAGTAATGTTCATCAAATTCCACACACAGTTTTCCAAAAAGGTAAGTTTCCTCACAAGGACAACTGTGGTATCTCTTGGCGTCTTAATAAAAAAGACTTAGCTTAGCCGATAGCTAACTTTTAGTTAACCGAGCTGATGCTAGCTAGCTGTGGCGACGTCGTCAGGGCCAATCAGTTTTGATCTAAATGGCGATTATGTGTTATAAATCGGTAACAGCTTCATAATACGTGCTGTCTGAATTGGTGAATGTTTAAAACGCCAAATGTAAATTATCGTAACAATGTTTACATGACATTTTGGAGTGTTTTGCATGTTCCGTTTAGCTCACTTGATCCTGTTTATGTTCGCCAAAGAATATGACTTGGTAAAATAACATTAATGCTAGCTAACATTAGTTAGAGTCAGGCATCTAACCTAACAGAGCCTGTGTACTGGCAACCGTGGCTGTGTTTTGCACACATCATACATCTCTATTCTAGCTTTACTTTGTTATGCCTATTTCAGGACTAACAAAATACTTTGATTACTGGTTAAAGCCGTGTTTGCTAACCTAGCTTGCTGTGAATAAACTAATATTTCTAATGAATAAGGAGGCCTTCACACTGTACACCGCGTTAGTTAGGTACATTTAGCGAGAATGGACCTGAGAGAGGTTTGCCTCTACATGCCCAGTGCAATGATCACAGAGACAGACGATTTGTTGAAATGTGAGACACCAATCTTCGCTTAACAAGTGGAGTGATCACAACACAGTTAAAGTTAAAGTTGATTTCAGAAGACGGTTTAAGAAGTATTTAGAAGTTGTGAGTTTTGTAACAGAGCTCCTAAATTTTAATTTGGGACTCTCAGTATCAGTACCCTGTGAGAGGTTCTCACTGTACACCGTAAAATTCACAAACTGTTTGATTTCAGTAAATGAATAATCCTGAAATAAGTCATTGTTGGCAAAAACTGTCCTGCAGGCTGGGGAATGACGAGCTATCGCTTTCTGCTTATGATAGCAAGATAATGTGTCTTTCAGCATTATGGATGTCAAGGTCACAGTGATGGAGCAGAGTAGGAGGACACTTGGATCTGTGGCCAATGCCGTCTGAAGAACTGTCTGTAAGTAAGCTCATAACCAGCAGCTTTATCAGCTGATAACACTTAATGAGCTACATTTTATATGTTTAGATTGACAGTAGAATGATGCACTGCATTAACATGTACACATGAAATCTTATAGAACACAAGATGATAGTAAAAAAAAAAAAAAACAAGCACAAAAGTTTAAGTTAAACAGCAAGATAAAGTTGTACAAATGTGCTTATTATAATTGCCTATCAGTGGCTAACTGTGGTGACATTTCCTTTTATGCAACAAAACCAATTCTACTTTGATGGGTTGCTCTGGCATCAGTGATGTTTTTAGTGATTGTTTTTAAATATTATTTTTTGTAGCAGTTGCTGTGCTAACCTGCACAGTGTAAGTATTGCATGTATACACACAGACTTTTCCCTGGTCTTGACTGTTTAGTGTTTTTAAGTGTGGCAGTGCAAGACATGAATTGTGGCAGATCAGGTTTAGCTTCTTGACCTTCAGTTCAACAGTGCCAGTAGTTTCATCCATTAGGGGTAGGAGGAAAAAATGGTTTTACACTAGAATTGAGATTCATATATTCTGTGATTCTAAATCAATTCAGACATGCTAAAAATTGATTTTTGTCACAATGTTGATGGAGCAAAAGAGGTGGAACTATGCGACTGTCTCTGTTTTGAGGTGTGTTTTATGATAGAATATTTTTGATTGTTGTTGACATCAGGCCTGAGGGTATGTTGAGACGTCTCGCCAGACCAGAGCAGAGGCGTCTAGGTGGTTCGGACGGGGACTGAAGGTGAGGTGGAAAGACAGACGAGGGACCAGGGAGAAAGACATGGGCCAGTGTGTCACCAAGTGTAAGAATCCAACGTCCTCACTCGGCAGTAAGAGTGGAGACAAGGACAGCGGCTCCAAGTCCCATCACAAGAAAGTTGGCGGTGGCCACAAAGAAGAGCCCAGTGCCCCATGTAGCAAAGCCACCAGCGAGCTGTCGAATGGCACCAAGGCCATGGAGGTTACAGTGGAATCACCCATCATTCCTACAGCGATCGGGGAACTACACAAGGACGAGTGTTTGGATGGAGATGGGCTGTCTATGCTCCGTATTGAGGAGCTGTTCTGCTGCTACAAGGACGAACAGGAAGATGCCATCTTGGAGGAAGGCATGGAGAGGTTTTGTAATGATCTCTGTGTGGACCCAGCAGAATTTCGTGTGCTTGTTCTTGCCTGGAAGTTTCAAGCAGCCACCATGTGCAAGTTTACAAGGTAAGGTGAAGTTGTGGGGAATGGAGCATGTTGTTTTCAGTGGTATTTGTTTGTCAGGGTAAACTAGCATGACTACTGTGTAGTAATCAGCTGTAGGTGAGAATTGAACATTCTGATACAGATATTTCCTTATTTCAGATGACTAAAAAACTGTTTAATCAGTGCCTGCCAAGATTGTAATTACCCAATGTGATTCTGTTTTCATGTATTTGGAAAAACTCATGGAGACAAGTGTAGACTACTATAACTCATTTATATAAAACATGTCACATTTATTTGGTATTTCTTTGCCATTTCTCAGTGTGTTCTGGTGTCAGATGCCACATAACCTCACCGTCCTGTCTCTCTACATGTATCCTGTTTTCATCTTTCCTGTCATTATGTCTTGCTAAGGTGAAAATACAAAATGTCCCCTCCAAAAAATGTCAAGGGAATAAGGCCTGTTGGGATATTATTGGTTACTTACAGCCCAATCAATGTCTGAAACGTAACCTTAACCACCAACATGTAACCTGTGAACTCCTTCATTCCCTGCACACCAGCTATCAGAAACCTCTCAGTGCCCTCCGTATAATATTAAAACCTATTCCTAACACAGCTTTGCAGGCAGCACATTGTGTGTGTGGAGCCCTTTGTGGAGAGGTGCTGTCGAAGCTTCCTGTGACTCAGACTCATTGAACAGTACTGGCAGCAGTGTGGAGATATTAGCTTCTAAAGGTATTGAGTGGTACTGCCCTCTGTAACCAGTCTAATATTTTCAATTATTTTCTGCTTGGTCAGTAAGTCTTGTTCCATTCTCATTCATTGTCATTTCATAATGACATATCTGAAGAGCTGGGCAGAGTTTGGTGGAGCAGGGAGAGGGAGTGCTGGGTGGAGCAGAGGGGATTGATTTGGAGTTTCATGGTAGCACTTAAGTTACATACTGTAGTTTTAAACTTGACTATTTTGTTCATGCTGGGGATCCAGTTTTCCTGACACTATGTGCTAATGTAAAGGTAGCTGTTAAACCCATCTTTTCTAATATAGACTGCATTCACTAATTTTGACTTGTATATTGCAACATTGCTGTCAATGTTGCTGTTAATACTGCTTATTTTGTTATATTACACAGCCTTATGCTGGTTTACTGTTTGCACATTAGGAGCCGATGTACCTGAGTCGAATTCCTTGTGTGTCCGTCACACCTGGCCAATAAAGCTGATTCTGATTTTGATTCTGATTCTATATAAAGGCAGGCTGTTGACATATCTCCACATAATCAGCATTGTGTTCAAAGATTCCCGTTGGTTTGCACATCGTTGAGAATATCACCCTCTGCCCCTGACGGCGCTGCCAAGTAAACCAAAAACATAAACATTTAGACATGCCAAAAAGTTTTTAGAAATCTGATGAAAATAAGACATCTCTGAAGTTGGCCAGAAATGATCACATTTAGTGGAGTGTGTATTATAGCTATAACAAATGGCACACACTTGGGATGTAATTTCAGTTTAAGTGATTCCTGATATCAACAACTTGGTTTTAAACAGTTATTGCCTGATACTGCTGATGCCATACTCTGGTTACCAATATGTTTCACTGTCAAATAATGTGTGTTAAAGCTGTGTATATTACAGTACATTTAACTTTGAAGGCCTGTATTGTTGTAAGGCAATTTATTGTTGCTCTTGGAAAATTTGACTCTGGTGCTGCTCCCATAGCTTTGTTGAGATGTGTAATTTTTTTTTCTTTTTTTTTTTTTTTTTTGCTTCTTGGCCCCATCATTCTTAGTGTAATGGTCAAGTGGCATTCTGATATCCAGTCCTGTTTAATTTGTGTTTTCAGAAAGGAGTTTGTGGAGGGCTGCAAGGCCATCCAGGCAGACAGCCTTGAGGGCATCTGCTCTCGTTTCCCTTGCATGCTGCTGGACGCCCAGGGTGAGGAAAACTTCAAGGACCTGTACCGATTCACCTTCCAGTTTGGCCTGGACGCTGAGGAGGGCCAACGCTCTCTGCAGCACGAAATAGCCATTGCCCTGTGGCGCCTGGTTTTCACCCAGGACACACCTGTGATCCTTGAGCGCTGGCTTGACTTCCTAGCGGAGAACCCTTCAGGTATTCGGGGTATCTCAAGGGACACGTGGAACATGTTCCTCAATTTCACCCAGGCAATTGGGCCGGACCTGAGCAACTACAGCGAGGATGAGGCCTGGCCTAGCCTCTTCGACACCTTTGTGGAGTGGGAGCTGGAGCGTAGGAAAAAAGAGGACGAACAGGTACTGTTGGCAAAGGAGGAAGAGGGGAGGTGTACTGAGACAGAGTGTTCTCCCACCACAGACAGACTTGAAACAGAGGGAAGCCGTGGCTCACAGACATGGGGGGGGCACTGACCAGGAAACAAACATTTGTGATAGAAGATGTGACAAAGTGAACTGTACATCTGTGAATCATTGAGTGAATATTAGTATTACCATAACAGCTGTTAATTTCTCTCTCCTTTTCTGTTGGGGTGGGATTCATGCTTTGCAGCTTTTTGGTTGTTTTTGAAAGGGCTCTAAGAACAGCTATTTTTTAAGCACTTCTATTTAAGTTATTGTTTTACCCTTTTCTCCTCCCATGTGTGTTTTTTGCAATTGGACATGAATATGTTCATTTTAATCTACCTACCAAAACCCACCAGAGTAAGCAAAGACTTGGCTTGAAAAGTAGGCAACAAACAGCCATATAGACACTTCATTCTGACATGGTACAACTGCGGATGGTTGATTTTGCATAAGGAAACACTTAATAGTTAAGAAGAAGGGAAATTTGCATAATATGGCTACAAATCATTTTTACTACCGAAATTTGAGATTTATTGTGAGGGTCAGAGAAAATATCTGTTGGATTGTACACTTTTTAACTTGCAGTGCTGTGAGGATGATTGGGTTGAACTGCTATTGCCTTCAACTGTTGGGCTGCAATTATATGGCAAACTACAACTCTGTCACAAGAGGCATTTTGTCATTCAAAATATTATGAATGAGGTTTACATTTGTAACCTTAATTCAAAGTTTTAATGTTCAAGTTGGTTTCAAGCTGGTAACAGACCCACCCTCTCTTCTGTTTGAGTGTCTTTGAGTGCTACAGGTGCAGTGAGCAGCTTTGTTTAAGCAGCTGGCTGTACCTCTTTTGACCTATCATCTACAGTTATGTCCACCTACTTTGAAGAAGTGGTTAAGTCTATACAACTTTGACAGCTTTTCTTAGATGTTTCATTGATCTTGTAGGAAGTCTGTAACACAGCAAATTGGCAAAAACTAGGTCTTGGTCATTTCTGGACAGATGATATTTAAGCCTACAATATATTCAGGACTGTTTAAACTGGGCGCTACACAAAGCTTATACTGTTTACCTTCAGGATTTTGAGTCTTGAATTGCTATACAAAAAAAAAACGTGTGCGCACTTCACAAATAATGTTGATTGCTGCTGGTGATGGCTGTAATGAATTGCACAAAAACCAATGGCATGCTAAGTTGTTAGACTTGCAGTGCTTTGCAGAGAGATTTTCAACCACATTATTTCCATTTTAAACCTTTTCCAAACTGTAGTTTGATCTTAAGTATAGCCTGGGCTGTTTTGGACTGAGTGTTAACTAGATGTGCTGGCTAATCAAAGAGCCTGTGGTAAGAGGGTGACCGTAACCTGATCTGTTTGGTTTACATCTACAATGGTTTTATTTCAGCCCCACTTTGTCCTTTTATATATATATATGTATATATATATAATGTATTTATTTATAATAATAAAACAGTGTTGAACTTTTGACTGCTGACCATGAAATGTCTGACTTTATTTTCACAGGACTTTAAATTTCTTGGTACCTCCTGCTATGCTCGTGCTGAACGACATATTTGCATATTACTGTCTTCAGTAGTATGCAGACAGAAGTGAGGTTTTGCAGAACAGAGATTTGTGCAGACTTGTGGATGCTGTGGGCGTGTCCGGACACTGGTACGGCTTTCTCCATTGGTGGACAGCTATCCTGGTTACCAACCAACAACACACTGGGCAGTGAGCACATGAAAAAGAAACACATCTGTAGTTAATTTTAAGGCTAATGGCTCACAAAGTACCATTTTGCAGGTACTGTAAGTATTTGTATCTGATAATTATTGAAACCGGAGTAAAGGTTGTACAAGAATATGAGCGTAAAAGACAGTTTTGTGTCATTTCATGTTAACTAGCTAACATGCTAACTCAGGCGTTCAGTTTGTTGATAGCGTCGTTGCAACTTGCTAACGCAGCATCTGTCGCTACACCGAGGAGTTAATTTATGCGATAAAGTGTTAACCCGTTAGCGTCGTGGAAACTGACAGGGAGCACTGTGACGTTAACATAGTAAGCAATGGCTAGCGTGCTAGCTGTGAACAAACTTAACAAAATTAACGTTAGCGTTACCACACATCTGGCAGCTCCCTGCACGAGTACTCGGGTCAGCGGTAACGTTATGCTAAGCTGTTAAAATAGGCGGGTTAGGTTTAGCTTGGAAATTGCGGTTATTTTATTATGTATATGCGTTTGTTTTTTCCGAAGCGTCCAGGGGTGGGTCGACATTTTTAAACGAACTGCATTAAACGTAATTTAGATTTTCTATCACAGGTAACCCCTTGCTGCTCATCTGTGTCTCTCTGCTGTGGTAATGAAACACAACACACACGTCAGTTATTTGATTTGAAGAGAGATCGGCCTTCTCCAAAATAATGGGATAGGGTTATGTGAACAGCATCCTTTGCAGCCATACAATGGATATCGTTACCGAGGTAAGCAAAGATCGCTTTATGGTAAGGGCTCATCTACTCTGTCAGTAGTTTACTTAACATCAGAGAATATCACGAAACTCTTTAATTTCCAGGGCATTTTACAGTAATGTCCCAGCTGTCATTTTGTGTCACTAACAAGTGTTTTCTATTCTTTATTTAAATGTATTTGCCTCTTCTGCTCCTGACACTGACCGATGCTGTAGCCTAGTTGACATGTAGCAGCTAAGTAAGAGCTTTGTGATTTTTCTTTCGATCGTCTTGCATGATATTATATAAAATGAAGTGGCATGAGCTGTTGGTGACTGTGTTATGCAAGATCCGATACTCCTTCCAAAGCTCATTCAATGTTTTAATGAGATTGTTACATTTTAG